CAGCAGGGGCAGCTAGGTGGTGCAGTAGATAGAGCTCTGGCTTTGGAGTCAGGAGGACCTGAGTTCAAATCCAGCCTCAGACACTTGAAACTCACTAGTTGTGTGACCCTGGGCGAGTCACTTAACCCTGATTGCCTCACACACCCAAAAACCAAAACCAAACCAAACCAAACCAAAAAAAACCCAGCAACAACAGCAACCGTAACACTGTCACTTCCCAATGTCATCTTCCCTATATAGAACCCCACCTTTCAACAAGAAATATCCTTCCCAATGTTCTTTTCCCCACATAAAAACCACTTCAAAACAAGAAAATATACTCATATGAAACAAACCAAAACTTTGGCTATAAATGAAAGCACGTCCCATCCTGTACCCCTCTCTAGTCCACCACCACTGGGGAGAAAAGAGGTGTACTTTACTGTTAGTGAATGTCTTTCTAGCCCAGCTATTGCTCTTGCCCTAGAGCACTTAGCCTTTTGGTTGTGTTTCATTGAGAAATGGTGTGCTTTTCAGCAACATGTCAAGAGGATATGTGTGCACATGCAGGTGCAGGTATGTCTTTGTATGTGTAAGGATTTCCCCTGACGGTCAAAGACTTGTGGTGTGTAGGAAGATGGAGTTCTCTAATTGCATGTGAGGTGATACAAGAAAACCAACTCCCCAAACATCTAAGTCAGGATGGATGGGAGAAAGAGATGTTGGGTACTGCCCTAATGAAAACATTTTCCCAGCTTTCACCTGTCTGCACTGCTGTTCTTTGTTCCCTCCAGCACCTTGGAAAAAAAAGCCCTACATAAAGGCAAAGGCAAACTCAGGGCTGCTGGGGGAGAAATGGTAGTAGTAGAGTCTGATGAAACAATCTCCTGTGTAAGCAGTTAATGAGGTAAAAACTTTAGGTCGGTGCCTGGTTTGATTTGGCTGCAGACTAATCTTAGGAATAGAGGATCCAATTTCCTGACATGCTTTCTTGACTAAGCATGAATGATTAGAAGCAGGTCTCTGTCTTTGTCTGTCTGTCTGTCTCACACACACACACACACACACACACACACACACACACACATACACACTTCTGGAATGAAGGAATAGGAAGACCGAGGGAAATGGAGACAGAGAGAGAGAAAAGACAAAATCACAGCCCATTATAACATGGCTTGATATTACATGGATTTCAATATTCCATAGGTCAAACTACTGTTTGATATAGTAGGCAGATGGAGAAAAGGAGTTTTTTGGGTGTGGGGCAGACCTGTAATTTTACTGGTATAATGATTACCAGTGAGGAAGCTCCCTCTTCCAAAGCAGATCAGCAACTACTTTGCAGCTTACAGTTGTAGAGAGTTGCCTGGGACACTGCAGGGTTAAATGATTTGCCTGGAATCACATGAGGGGCACACAGCCATTGTGTGTCAGGGACTGGATTGGAAACCAAGGCTTTCTGATTTGGAGGCCAGTTCTATCCATTATATCATACTGCCTCTTGGGGAATGGTGTAATGGTATTGTGTAAGAAACCAGTACCACCACCACAGCTGCAACAATCATGCAACAAAACTGGACCTGGAGTCTGATGACCTAGGCTCCAGTTTTGGGTGACCTTGGGCAAATCCCTTCCCCTCTCTCATCTCCGTTTCCTCATGTACAAGGTGAGGTCGTCAGACTTGTGACCAAGAAGGTCTCTACTAGTTCCCTGTATGTCTAACTTCTGGGGTTATTTCTTGTTTTTTCTCACAGTGGAAATAGAATAGAGCTTCCACCTGAGGGAGTATGGAAATGATGTGGCAACAAAGGTCAATTTAGGCTGAATAGCAGCCTGATCTCTAAGTTCGATTTAAGAGGAAACAGGAAGTCCTGCCCTCCAGATATCTCACTCACTACTCTACCACAGAGCCTGGAATTTGGCCTTCAGATAGTCATTCATATGGGTCAAGGTCCTGCCTTCTTTAAGGGTTTCTGGTACTTCTAGAGATGTCATCAGATACAAAAACCTAAGCATGAATCAGTTTGTTTATTTCTTTCCAACTTGACTGAAAGAAGAGACCTGTAGTAATATTGCACTTAGCAGGAGAGTTCTGGGAGATAAGTTTCCTCTGTGAGATGAGGAGATGGAGGAAGTGGAAAGGCATCAAGACCAACTTTACTACTTCACAATTTTGCTTCAGGTTAGCCATGGTCAGAACATCTGACAGAGAAGTGCCAAATTCCAGCCATCACCAAGAGGTAGGGTTGAAGAACAGGTGATTTACTTAGTGGATTTCTTCATGGACTGGATGGGCGATGGTTTTTTATTTCCTGTAAGTAAAAGATCCTCCTCTTCTAAATTAGGTAGAAATAAGCTAAATCCCTTTAGTTTGGATCTTTTGTTTTCTAACCTCTCAATAATTTTTTGCCTTTGCTACTTAGTAATTTATCCAGGTCCTTGTGCCTCTCAATTTGTGAAGCCCAGACTATATCCAGTGCCTACTTCTAAGTTAAATGGGAAGAGGCATTTTGGTGTGGTGAAAAGAGTGCTGATTTTGGAATCTAAGGACCTTGGTTCAAATCCTAGTTCTATCATTTGCAACCTCTTCCTCTTTAGAATGTGAGGTCCTTAAGACAGGGGTTATTTTCTCCCCTTCCTTTGTATCCTCAGTGCTTCTTAGAGTGCTGGCACATGACAAGTGCTAAGTAAATGCTTGTCAACTTACTGCGTGACCTTGGGCAACTCACTTAACTTCTCTGGGGCTCAGTTTCCTTGACCCTAAGATAAGAAGGTTAAACTAGATGAACTAAAAATTTCCTTCCAGTTTTACATCTATGTTTCTGGTCCCTAAATTTGAGATTCTCATGGGTCCTGTGTTTTATGCAAGTACCCATAGGTTAATGCATATTATTAAATGTTTTGCTCTTATCTGCATTCATTGATTTCCTTCAAAAATTTCTCCTCATTTGAGATCATACTAATTAAGTTAGTCTCCCCTTTTTTCCTTTCTTGAACTTTGTCTAGATATTACCTCATGAATTTGCCCACTTATGTCCCAGGCTCAGTTTTGTTTTGGAATAATTTACTTAAACGATTCTGCAAACTAGCAAAATAATGGCAAATGACCTGGAACATTAATTTAAATCTTTCTTTCCCTTTTCAGTTTGAAGTCTCAACCTCTGGCATGTTCTCCTGGCTAGCGGATGGACTTGCACAATCACTTTTTTGTTGTCTTTATTCTCTTGGGACTCAAGTTGACTTGGCTCAGGTTCATTAGGCTTCTTTTTAAACTTTGACTATCCATCCATTTATCCATCAATCCATCCGTCCGTCCTTGAATGTGGTATCCTCTCACTTGCCAGTTTCTCATTACCACATTGCTAAGTGTCATGCTAGCCTTATCTCCAGTGGAATCTCAGAGGCAAATGACAAAGTGGGAAGAGCACTGAATGAAATTCAGAAATCATGAATTCTAATTCTGATTCTGTCAATCACCATTCATGTGAACAAGTTTCCAAACCTTTATGAGTTTCATTTTTCTTATCTGTCAAATGTGGGTTTAGGACTAGAACAATGGACAGAAAAGGTTAACACAGGAAAGGACCCTAGAAATCCTACAATCTGGCCACTTTATTATATTGATGAAGACATGGAGATCCAGAGAGAGGACAAGGCCTCAACAGTGTTGCCCAGTGGCAACATTCAGGATAAAAGGTCAAGTCTTTTGACTCTAAAGCTAATGCTCATTCTATTTCAGTAGGCTGTTGGGCGTACTGGAGCATGCCTGTAATCTCTACTACTAGGAGGTTGAGGCTAGTGAATTGCTTGAGCTCAGGACTTCTGAGATGCAGTGTGCCAAGCTGTTCAGTTATCTGAGTTACGTCTGGCACCAGTATGGTAAGCTTCATACCCCACCCAGGAGTGGGGGCAACCAGGCTACCTAAGAGGAGAAAACTGGAGGTCAAAGTTCCCATACCAGTCAGCAGCCTGTGAGTGGTTGCTGTACTCCCAGCTTGGATAAGAGAGAGAGAAACAGTGTCAAACCAAACTAAACCAAAACAGGCTGTCTCCTTGGATATACTCTCAGGTCCATTTCAACTCTAACATGGAATCATAGATTTGGAGTTATAAGGGACATTGGAAGCCACTTGTTTCCTCTGGTTCTGTGACTTAGGAATTCTTACCTTGGTCTTAGGTCACTAGGTGGCTCAGTGGATAGAGTGCCAGGCCTAAAGTCAGGAAGCCTCATCTTCCTGAGTTCAAATCTGGCTTCAGACACTTACTAGCTGTGTGACCCTTGGCAAGGCACTTAACCCTGTTTGCCTCAGTTCCTCATCTATAAAATGCACTGGAGAAGGAAAAGGCAAACCACTCTGGGATCTTTGCCAAGAAAACCCCAAATGGGGTCACAAAGAGTCAGATATGACTGAAATAACTGAACAATCACCACCACTACCAGTTTACCTTGACCTTTGGTTTGTTGTGCTTGTATGGATTCCTTGTTCCTCAGGATCTCTAGCAAAGAGTGGGTGAGTTAGGGTTGCTTGGGGTGTCTCCCAGTAGTCAATATAATGGGCAATGACTGTTGTCCCATATAAAGTCTCCTTTGGCTCCATTCTTGGAGACAGAATGCTGGACTGGATGGATCACTGGTCTGTCTTGGAATGACATTTCCTATCTTCTTATTGAAGGCATTTTAACCCAGGTAATAAACAGAATACATGTAGCCTTTTTATCCATTTATAAGGAAAGCATCAAAAGACACATTCAGGATGGCCTCTTATGAAGACGTTTCAGTATAGATTAGACTGAGAACAGGCACAACTGAAGTCATACTAGGAAACCCATAGGAGGGAGGGAGTATCACAAATACTGATCAGAGAACCAAAGGGCTCCTGTACAATCTGTTATCACTGGCCACATATCCCAAGATAACTGTACTTCTGTGTCTGGAACGCCCCTTTTAGCACACACAGTGTGTATCCTTCAGGGCAAAGAAAGACTGCTTAGCCATGGCTGACAAATACATCTCTTACCTCAGTGACAGCAAAGCTTCTCTTGCCACAGGGAACCACCTTGTACCATTTGTCATGCAGCACGTCCATAAATCCATGTGACTTGTACTGGCTGATAAGTTCTGATATATTTGAGGTCAGTGGAGAGTTTGGAGGAAGGCCAATACCATAGCCTAGGAGAAAATACAATTTCAAATGACATTTCCTCCAGTGTTCCTGAGGGGCTGCAATAGATATCTTTGATTCAGTATGAGGCATGATCATGGGAATAAAATCTTAAGTTTGTAAAGCACCTTTCTTTCAAAGGATTCAAAGATATTTGTATGTGTTTTCCCTTTTAGACCAATCATTTTTTCTGTGAAAGAACTAGATGAACTATATGCCTCTTCCCGAGGTAATAGAAAGTAAGCTTTGCACTAGAAGTCAGGATATCGGCTTTGTCATTAAATAATTGTGTGATCCCTGGTAAGTCATTTAGCTTGTGTAAAGCTAAATTTGGTTTCTTAGTTTGATTTCTGATCCCTAAGATACATTTTAGACGTGTGGTATGTCTTTCATTGATAAGGAGTCTTAGAAGGAGAATTAGGAACCCAGGAAACATCATATACTAAGTCTATTCCTTTTACTCTAGTTGCCTGATTTTTTTTTAGGCAATTGGGGTTAAGTGACTTGCCCAGGGTCACACAGCTAGTAAGTGTCAAGTGTTTGGTCTGAGGCTGGATTTGAACTCAGGTCCTCCTGACTCCAGGGCCAGTGTTCTTTCCACTGTGCCACCTAGCTGCCCCTAGTTGCCTGATTTTTAAGGACAAATTACCCAGTGGTAAGAGACCATGCCATCACTGGGTGTTGGCACCCAAGAGAGAGAATATAAGACATTTGATGTGAGATGTGGAGGGAAGACAGGGAGAGAGAGCAAATCACACCGTGTAGGCCTGGAAGCAGTAGCAAGGCAACCAGAGATACCAAGCCACATGTGGACATGTAGAGAGAAAGCTACATATGACCCCCAGCATGAAGTAGACTTCGCTTTATAGGTACATTAAGCTAGTAAAGGAGAAGGGGAGTGCCAAAGAGAAAAGAAACATGATTTGGAAGGGAACTGTGGAAAGGATGGCTTGGAGTTGTGGTCAAAACCAAATCACAGAACCACAACATGAAGGAGCAAAACTAGAACTTGTCTTGCACTAGTCCTGTGTGTCATGTGGACTAATTAGGTTTGAGGCAAAAAGGAGATAAACTCTCTATAAACCTAGAATTCTTTTCTAAGGGGCCCATCAGAGAGGATAATTGCTTGACTTCTTAGTAATGCTAAACCTGTAGGGTAGTACTCCAAGTTAGAAGGACTGTTCTGGTTCTTATGGGAGAAGGCAGAGCAATTTTTACTATCTTTGGGCTCATCTTTTAAAAAAATATAAATTAAAACTGTTCAGACTAATGCTTGAGTACTTGATAAGGAGCTGAGGACCTTTTTGGATATCAAAATGTGCAACATAAAGAAATTTTCAGAGTTTTCTTAGGTGGAGGTACGAGCCAGGAAGATGAAACAGAGAAGTTTTCTGAGAGAGAGTCCCAAAATTGTGCACAATTCTTCTTATTTTTTTTTTGTTTCTTTTAGGCAATTGGGGTTAAGTGACTTGCTGAGGGTCACACAGTTAGTGTCAAGTGTCTGGTCTCAGGCTGGATTTGAACTCAGGTCCTCCTAACTGCAGGGCCAGTGCTCTATCCACTGCACCATCTAGCTGCCCCTGCACAATTCTTTATATCAAGACACTCAAGAAACTCCAGGATTATGCTTTCATATATTTGGACCATTCTATGATGCCAATGATGGTAGCTATGGTGAGAAATGTGGAGAGGCTATTTAGTCCTACCCTTAGAAAAGTCCTGACCCAAATATTTTAGGTCTGAGATCTCAGCTTTTAGTCTTGTTTAGTTGCTTAAATATTTTGGAATCAAGGTCCATATTTGTTTTCTTTTTTTTCAGGTGAACTGGTTGATATGATAAAAATCTTCAAGTGCTAAAGGACTGCCATATAGAAGGATGAAGTTTGTTCTGTGAAGCCGTGGAGGGCCTACTGACTAAGGGTCAACATAAGGAAAAATGATCTAATAATAAGAGCTTTCCAATGTGCTGCCTTGTGAGGTAGTGAGTTTCCTTTCAATGGAACTCTTCAAGCTAAGGTAAAAAGGCTACTTATTAGAAATGCTATAGAGGAGATTTATACTTTCTGAATTGAACTGGATGACCTCAAGCCTTTTCCAACATCGACAGTCTATGATTCATAGTCTCTCTTGTCAGCAACCTCTGGGATCCTTTTCCAGGGCTGAAACCTCAGGAAACCAGGGCCGCCTTTATCTTTTCCCTATCTTCTTACTGGTTGAGTGGACAGTAATTATTGCATTCTAGTCTGTTGCTATCCTGGAAATTATTTTGAGAGACCACATAAAAGGAACCATAGACAACTGAATTTTGTTCTTAGCTCTTCAGTGCTACAACTACAAAAGCTTTTTTTTTTTTTTAACTTCCAGGAAAATGGAGGCTGATAAACTGAAAATATGGCTGAACTCTTTTACAGATCAAAAGTGAATAACCTTCAAAAAGCTGCATATGCTTAATGAAAAACATATTTTCTATAATTCTTTCCCTTTATTATTCATTTCCAAGGACATTTATATGAAAATTGGTTTTTTGTTCTTTTTAGCAGATACACAAAAACTTTCATTGAAATGCCAAGGCAGGGATGTGTGTATGCTTAATAACTGACATAGATGAAATAAATAATACAAAAATACCACTTGATGTTACAAGTAATATACATTGTTTTTTTTTCCTAATTGTTTCTTTTGTTCCTTAACAGTGGGGTGTCAAAAAAATTAAGACAATGACAGTAATGGATACCAGGATTTTCAAATCTATTCAACATGTATTTTTGAGCACCTGATCTGTGCTTTGCTATTTTGGTTTGGAGGGCAAGGTTGGCAATGGAATCTATTAGGAAGACAGCTTGTCCAGTATATTCTGTCATCAGAGAGAATGTACTTATATGTAAGTTAAAAAAGAAGTATGGGAGAGAGAAGGGCTGGAGAAGGGCAAATGTAATAATTTCCAGGAAATGGAAGAGGGTGGAATTTGAAAACTATAGATAAGTGAAATTGACTTTAATTCCTGGCAAGATTCTAGGATATAAAGGAGGGAGGAAACAAATATTTATTAAGCATCTATTATGTGCCAAACACTGTTGCTGTGCTTTGCAAATATTATATCATGTAAAGGGGTGGCTTTTGAACATTTAGATGGGGAAATAATGATCACTTAGGGTCAGCATAGCTTCTCAAAAACAGATTATAGCAAGCTCACTTAATTTCTCTTTTTTGACATTTACTGCACTGGAGTATTGTGGGATTGCAGTATATATAGTATACCTTTTTGAAAAGCATTCAGCAGAATTTCTTATTCTATCCTCATAGACAAGATGGAGAAATATGGCCTAGAAGATAGGCTAGGTAGGAAGAAGTGTCTATAGAGGACTCTAGAGATCTATCCTTGGCCCTGTGCTAGTCAACATTTTTTATCAGTGACTTGGCTGGAGGCACAGATATCACCCACACTTATCAAATCTGTAGGTGACCCCCCAAAAAGGAAGTCATAGCTAATATAATGGATGGAAGATTCAGTGTCACGTAAATGGGAGGCAAAAAGTTATTCAAACTTAGGCTGCATTAAGGAAGATAGTGTGTCCTGGACTAGGGAGGTGCCCCTTCTGCTGTACTCTATATACTTCGACGTCTTTCCTAACATGTTACACAGAGAACCAAGAACAGACCTAGAGTACTTTGTTTGGTTCTGTGTGCAGTATTTTAGGAAGGACATTGAAGTTGGAGCTGGAGAGGGTTCATAGAATAATGAAGGGTCTTGAATTCATGCCATATGAGAGCTAGTTGCTGGGAAACCTGAAGAAGAGACGACTAAGAAAGGAGGGCATGACAGCTATTTTTAGGTATCTGAAAGACTGTTTTGTGGAGGAGGGATTAGATTCATTTGGTTTAGTCCCAGAGGGTAAAACCAGGAACAACGGGTAAAAAAAATCACAAAAAGGCAAATTTTAGGCTCGATGTCAGGAAAAAGAAAATGTCTTAATAATTAGAGTTATACAATTGTGCAGTGGTCTGCCTTGGATGACAGTGGGTCAGCACCCCCAGAATCCCTTCTTTGATGCTCCTCCCCATATTATTAGGGGTCTTCAAAAAAGAGACTGGATGGCCACTTTTGATATGTTGAAGGTGGAAAGGTTTTTTTTTTTGTATGGATGGAACCAGAAGGCAGCTTAGGTCCTTTCCAGCTGTGAAATTTTAAGACTGTTACTTGCCTGTGTGCTACCAGGAGGTAGAATTTGGAACAATGAATAAAAATGGCAACAACACAACTTTAAGCTCCATGTAAAGAAAAACTTTCTAACAATTTAGAGTTTAAAAAAGGGGGAAATGGACTGGTTGAGGAGAGAGTGGGTTTGGCCTCTGGAAGTTTTTGGATGGTCAATGGATGACTATTTGTCAGTGATTTTGTAGAATGTGGTCTTGGTTAGATATGGCTTTGAAAGTTCTTTACAATGCTGAGATTCTGACTCGACAACCCATGTCATTGGATATTTAACTCAGAGTTGTTTTGATGATCAAATGAGATGATGAATTGAATGCATTCTGTAAACTTTAAAGTGCTACATAAATATTAGTCATTTGGATGCAAAGGACTTGGGTTTGAATCCAGACTCTGTAGCTTATTACTGGCATAAGTCATCTAACCTTGCTGTAACCCAGTTCCCTCACCTCTAAAATGAGAGGGTTGGACTTGAGTTTTAAGGTCCTTTACAGCTTTAGAACTATGACTCTAGATTTTATGTAGGTCTCCATTCCAACCTCATCTCAAACAGGCTACTTTTGAGAAGTTTCTTCCAAATTTCACCTGGGCTTGTATAGCAGGCAATTCCAGCCCTGATGATTGCACCTGACGACAAATCTATTCTGGAATCACATATTGTGGTCGCCTAGGCTCAGTACGTGAGGAGACAGCCAAGTGTTTTAAAATGAATGCTTCCAAGCAGGCAGTACTTATTCTAAAAATAAGCTTTGAGAGCATTGTACAGGTATTCAAATGCACTAGGAGAAAAGCTTTATCTAATGTACATTGATATTTAGAGAAACTGCCACACTGAAAGTGATAAATATTAAATCCCTCCACTCTATTACATCTCAGTTAAATTGCAATTGACCTGGTAAAAATAGACCTCTATCCATTATCATCTGATATTCTAATTTGCTGCAGTTATGCACATAGCCAATGGTGAGACTTTAGTGACATATTCTTGGTTCTCTGAATATCATCATTAAAGAGAATGGAAACTATACATCTGGAATATGGGGGTGGAGAGGGGATACACAAATAAAACTTATTTTGGTTGGTTTATGAGGGAGTTTCATAACAGCAAAATTTTTGCTATAATTAGAAGTAAAAGACCAAAAACACAAGGGTTTAATTTTTATTCTCCATCATTTGCATTTAAAATTTGTCTGTCCTCAAGGACCAGAGGATGGCTTTTCTGCCTGCCAGCTTCTTCTGGCATTCTGAATCACTTTCCTAATTATCATTAGTAGCTAGAAGCTGCCATCAAGACCAGGCTGGCCATATTTTTGTTCGATGAAGCACCAGAGAACCCTGCAATTTGAAAGATGAAGGTATCAGGTTCTTTGGACAATTACAGGATCATGGACTGAGCTGGAAGGGTCCTATGGGCCATCAAGTCTAAATCCTTCATTTTACAGATGAGAACCAGAGAGGTTGAGCAACTTCTTCAAGTCCTCACAGCCAGTACAGGTCTGAGGTGTATTGAAATCCAGGTCTTCCAGACTAAAAGTCAAGTACTCTATCCATGCCATACTATCTATACAATGTTGTTTCTAGGACAAAGGAACAATTTCCAGAACAAGAGCCTGATCACTTCCTTACAAATAAATTGGAACTTCTTTATTAAGGGTGGTAGAAGTATATTCTGCTTCCACTGACTCCACAGGCTAACAATACTGTGTTTACATCTGCTTGGAAAATACCTGTTTCTGAAATAGCCTCTCAGATGACTGGGGTTAACAACATTGTCAGAAAGAAAGATTCGGGGGCAGCTAGGTGGCACAGTGGATAGAGCACTGGCCCTGAAGTCAGGAGGACCTGAGTTCAAATCCGGACTCAGACTAAACACTTGACACTTATAGCTATGTCGCTTAACCCCAATTGCCTAAAAAAAGAAAGAAAGAAAGAAAGAAAAAGCAAAGAAAGAAAGATCCATTTAGTTTGGCAGACTTTCCATGGCATGCCATTTGCAGCCAATGTGAAGAAAGGGCTAAGAATGTATTTTAATTGGCTTAATGCTCAGACTTTTAAAATATCTTTTAAAATATGGATTTTTTTTTTCCTTTTTGAAGATGAAAAGAGAGGTGTGTGAGGGAAGACCTGAGACAATCAGGATAAACTTAGGTGAATTACATAACTTGTTGGCCTTGTTTACTGACCCAAAATATTGATGGCTCATATGGGCATTGAAACAAGCCTGACTTAACAGCACATTGAGTTCTTTGGGTGGAATGCCATATATCATTATTGTTCATCTTCATTATCCTTGCTCCTCCTAGGACATTTATTGCTGCAGTGCTTAACTTTGGGACTTGTATTAATTTATCTCAACAGTTCCTTTTCCAATTCCAGTGACTCTTTATTCCTGGTACATAAGATTCAATTTCACCCAAGACTTCCCACAGTCTCTCAAACATTTAACAGTTTTGATCCCCTCTTCTGCATACTTGCTTAGGAACAAAATGTACTTCTGAGGAGCTTTTAAACAAAACTTGGAGCTGTTGACACTAATTGTCTATTATTTCATTCTGTCAGATAAATCATTTCCCAGGTGATGAAATTTTTGGGGAACATAGAAGCAAGGTTGTATTGATGGGTTAATATCATAACACATTCATAAGACACACATCTATCTATCTATCTATCTATCTATCTATCTATCTATCTATCTATCTATCTATCTATCTACCTATCTATCTATCTGCCTATCTGTCTAATGCAAATCAACATTCAAAATATTACATGTTTTAATGAAAGTACCCCATTCTCCCTTGTGTCTAAGTGAATTCCCGATAGTAATTTTTAGCATTGTTACCTTGTTTTTTGTTTTTTAGATGTTTTAGACTATTAGTTGGCTATTTCGTTAGTTGCAACAGTTACTATAAATCTAGTTTAATGAAATTTTATTAATGAAATTTAATTGATTAATTAAAATTAATAATGAAATAATTATTTGCTGAGTGCCTACTAATTTCTGAATTAGGCATTGTGGGAAATGGAGAAGTAGGAAATGGTATGGCCCTTTCTTTCAAAGTTCGTTGAAACTTCTCAATGAAAATTCCACTGGCTATTGGAGTATAGTGTATTTTAAGCAAAGATCACATTTTTTCATGAGAATAGTAAATCAAAATATTGTAAAAATGGATAGTGGAAGCATATGTACAGTTTTTAATTTTACTCCATGTAACTGGAAAGAGATCTCCCAAATTGGCAGTTGCCTTTTTTTCTTCGTATTTCTTCATTTTTAAAACCAGAAACTAGCTATGTGAGCAATGGCAAGAACTTTCAGGTAACTCTTTAACACTAGAAGTTAGAGGTGAGTTACTAATTTATGTTAACATAAATTTCCACACCAGTGAAATGAAGGACTTTATACCTCCAAAGACAGATAAGATGCTAAATGTTGCTTGACCCTCAAAAATATGCTTTCTTCCTTTTCTTGTGATCAAGTCTTACCTATCTGTGTAACTGATAATAAGAATTTTCTTAGGGGGTTGATATCTATTCTGAACTTCACTTCTTAAGTTTTTATAAGAAGCCAACAATGAAAATAATAGTCTATTCTAACCTTCAGGGTTCCTGTTCAATTCTTACAGTGAGCTGTAAGACCTTCCCATAAGGGATCACAGCATTCTACCACTGGAATGAACCATTGTGCATTTATTCCCTTTAAAAACAACATGATGCCCAGAGATGATGTCAACCACTAGAAACAACGTTTCATGAGCACAGATGGGAATGTAAGCAGAAAACCAGTAGGGAGTTAATTGGAGCTACAATGGCATCTGGTACTGAGCTAGAGCAGGGTGGAACAATCTATATCACCCTTGCCTTCTTAGATGATAGGGTCACTCCCTAGAGCAAAAGACATCTTGGTCTTTCTTAATCAGAGACAGCTCAATCAGATATAAAGCAGGTCATCATGCCTGCCACCCTCAAAACCACCTGATATTATTTACCGTTGCTGCTGATGGCAAAGGAACCATAATTAGCCAATGTGGAGAAGCAAAATTGAATAGCTTTTCCATGTCCCCAGATGCTATGCAAATCTAGAATTTTTTGGGCCACACCAAATAGAAGCTTGATTGTCTAGGTAAACTGCCTTAGCTGCCTTGGGCTCTGATTTTAACTGCTCACTAACTTGTCCCCAGAACTTCCTCTGCCTCTTTCAGTTGTTGGGTACTAGTTTTGGTTTGGAGAGGTTCTGGTTCATGGAGGGGTCATTTTGCCTTAAGAGGTAGGGAACAGATTTATTGCTCTTGGAGGAAGGCAGAATGGAACAGCTTCCACTCTTGCCATGTGCCATCGATCACAAAAATAAAGATTGGGGTCAGCAATCTGTTAATGTGGTCAGGGGAAAGAGAATGCCTAACTTATGAAGGATGTTTTAAGACTCCTTGTACGTTGACAGTTAAGGGGAGGGGGAAAGAATGAGCAGATCTAGAATTTAAAATTTTTGGAGGGAAAAGTTCCACTGTCATTTGTCTCCTCCAGCAGAAGCATCTCTTGACAAAGTAGTCCTACTTCATCTAGTCTAGCCATTAGCCCATAGTCATAAATGCTTGTTGACGCATTGACTATATCTTGATCCCAAATCTGTCTTTCTAATGCTGCTGGCATGGTGTATAAGTCCTGGTAGATTGTAAACTCTTTGAGGACAAGGACTATGTCTAGGCCAGGAAGGAGGTGATAACCAGAACTAAACTGGCAGCAAAAAAATACTTGCCAATGGTCAGGAGGTAATAAAACTCTCCTTAGGGATACTGAAAGAGAGGATTAACTATACAGCAATCTCAGAGAGTTAATTTCAAAATGGTTAGTCCATTTAAGTTCATTTACTAGCAATGTGCAGGTAGAAAAATCATCAGACTGAGAGTATGAAGATTTGAATTATAATCCAAGCTTTTGCACTGATTCTGGGTGACCTTGGGCAAATAATTTAACTTTACTAGTTTCCTCTTCTAAAAAAATGAGAGATGATATTGAAGGTCCCATCTACCTCTTAAACTCCATGATTATAGTTTTACAGACTTGGATTGATCACAAGATCTGACCATTAAAGAAATCAAATCAAAATGAAGTAAAATGACTTCTTTAATTAATTAATTTTATCCTCTCCACCCACTTTTTTCTGGATGGATGGAATGAGCAAATGGTACCCCAAAACAGTGCCCAGCTCTAGTAGCTTCTGAGATAGGTAGTTGAGGACAATAAACTGAAAACAAGAAAAGATGGATGGTTCTTTGCATCAGTGCTGATGTCTGCATTGGTGACTTGTAAGGTTGGCAAGCCCAACATATTCTAAATAAAAGCAAAACAACATCAACTGATTTATACCTTCAATGGCAAATGGTTTCCCCACTGTGAGCAGTTTGCAGTCAGCGTCAATGGACACTTCATAGTCAAGGAGTGCTTTGTCCATGATGAAGGCGTCCAGCTTCTCTGGATCATTCCTAGGGTTAAAACCAAAAGAAGACCCCCCCCCCCCACAAGAGTCATTAATAATCAGGGAGTTATGTACAGAGCAGAAAGCAGCAGAGGAACTTGGGGTGAATCAGGCTAGCTAGTGGTGAAGTTATCTCTTTTTTGCATCTCACTGCACTGAAGACTATAGATCAAGGCCAGTAAATTCAGTGGGGATGAGGCTTAAATTCCCCTTGCTCCAGGCTGGCATGAGGCACTTCTTTCCATAGGCTCAGGCAAAGAGAAGGTCAGAACTGCCTTGACCTTCTCTAACATGGTTCTTGATGGGGTTCAGATCTGGTGGTTTACGAATGGAGACCTCATAAATCTGTACGTTGAAATGGCGATCCTTATTGGGCATAAGCTTTATTGAAGACTTTGTAGGTCAGGTTGCCATTCCCTGGGATGGTTAATGAGCAAGGGAGGATAAATAAAATAGTAGATCCTCTAGGGCAGATGGCAGCAAATGATTCATTATGACAAGTATTACAGTGTAGCAGAAAGAGTACTGGAAGGGGAGTTAGAACTGGATTTGAGTCCTAACTCTTTCCTTTATGGACTTCGTGACTATGGGTAAGCAGCTTCAGTGTTTTAATCTGCACAAGGAGGAAATATAGTTTCCCTGTATTAAATGGTAGCTATTATTACTCACAGGGTTTGTTGTGAGGATCAGATGACATGATGCAAGTAAAGTGTATTATAATTGCAAAGCACTATGTAAATGTGTTATTATTATTAATGATGCTTTTAGGCCAGTAGGATTGACTCAGCCAATTCAACAAATGCTGAATATATACCTTCTATGTAGGATAGGGAGATGAAAATGACATTTCATGTGCTCTAGGAGCTACCAGGGTGATATTTTATGTACACAAATAGGTATAATGCAATATAGAATATGATAAGGACAAAGGAGAGATACAGACAAACCTCTAGGAATATTTGAGGTGGGAGAGATTGTTTTCAGTTAGGAACAGGAGGAGGGAGAAGGTCTTATGGAAGAGCTTATGGAAGGAAGAGAAGGAATTCAACAGGTAGAGGTGAGGAATGAGTACATTTTCCGTCATGAAGAACAGCCTGTTTGGATGCTGGGAGGTGGGAGATGGTAGAAGAAGAATAGGAATGCAACATAGAGTGCAAAATGAGGAACAATGTGAAATAAGAATGGAAGGCCCTAAGTACCGGGATAAAGAGTTTGAATTTTATGTTATAGAGCAGAGGTGTAAAACATGGTTCTGCAACACTTCCTGAGTATGAGCAACCATATTAAATATTTAACAAAATGAATAAAAATGCATGCATATATACATATATAAAACATTACATTTTAAAACTAAGTCAGTATGTGGCCAGCAGTAATCTTTATGGATGGATTAGTAGCCTCCATCTCTATTTGAGTTTGGTACCACTGTTACAGAGAATAGGGGATGGTGGTTTTAATAGTAAATGCAGGTTATTTGATGGTATTTAGTAGCTGAATGAAACTCTAGAGTAATTGTTTACTTCCAACACTCAAGAAGGGTTAGGTAATGATAATGATGACCATGATGATGATGATGATGATGATAATTATAGTGATAACTCACATTTGTATGGTACTTTACATTGTATATGGTTTTGTTTTCTTCCTTACAATGAGCCTTTAAATATTATTTATAGGAGAGTAAATTGATACATAGAGAGATTAAGTGACTTGGCCAAGGATTCACAGCTAAGGGGCAGAGCTGGGATTCAAACTTGGGAATCTTGAGTCTAGGACTACTATTCTTTGAACAATTCATTTAAGCAAGCCTTTATTAAGTGCCTACTATGTACAAGGCACTGTACTATGTCCTAGGGATACAAAGATAAAATTAAAAACAGTCTCTGCCCACAGGGAGATTACATTCTTCTGAAGGGGAAAAACATGTAAAGAAATAAGTAAATATAAGGCAGTTTGACAGAGAACACTTACAACTAGGAGGATCAGGAAAGGCTTTCTATTGGAAGTAACATATGAGCTGATCATTGAAGAAAGTCAAGAATTTTAAGAGGCAGATGTGAAGATGGAGTGTAGTCTAGGTATAGGGACAAGTTGTACAAAGACATGGAAATGGGAGATGGAATGCTGAGTTTAGAAAACAACAACATTTCAGCTGGAAGGGAGCTCATGTAAAGAGGAGTAATGTGAAACAAGTCTGGAAAGGTCAGCCGTATCTGCACTGTGAAGGGCTATAAATGGAAAATAGAAGTGGTTGTATTTTGTTCTACATGCAGCAGGGAGCCACTGAGGCTTTTTGAGAAGGGGAGTGATATGGTCAGATTTGTGCTTTAGGAATATCAATTTGGTCACTGTGTAGAGACTGGATGAGGGAAGGGGAAGGAAACCAACTAGGAGGCTATTACTGTAGTCTAGGTAAGATATAATGATGGCATCAACTTGGGCGAAGGGAAAGAGAAGGGAAAAGGAAAGGAAGAGAAGAGAAAGAGTGAAAAGGAAAAGAAATGGGAAGGGGGAAGGGAAGAGAAAGGGAGGGGGGAAAAGGGAAGAAAAAAGTGGAGGGGAGAGAAGTGGGCAGGAAGGGGAAAAGCACAGTTTCCAATGGCTTGGGAACAGCCATATTGCCATACAGTTCCAGGGTCACTCATAGAGTCTAAAAGAGGGCACTACTACATTCACTTTCCTATGGTCCCTCTTGTTGGCTAGAATGTGCCTGTTGGAGCTGGTCATAGTTGTCTTAGGGAAGAGCATTTTCAAGACATTCCTGGATGGGATCAGAAGGAGCAGGCTGACCTTCAAGTATATAATTATTCATGGAATATAAGCATGCACGTATTTATTTCAACATGGCAGCTTTTCCCAGCAATCTTCTCTGGGAAAACTTTATTTACTGGACAAGGCATTTCTTTAGTGTTCCTAAGCTCCCCTTTCTCCCTGTTTTCTATCCTTGGTCCCTTCTACCCTTTATATGTAAAGGGTACACAGTGTCCTCATGCTTTCTCTCTCATCCCCACAGCAGAACTTGATCTTAGGGAAGGATTTGATAAACTCCAAATATGTTGTATCTCCCAAGGAGTATTTGTATCTTTTGTATTTGGCTTGATTCAAAAGAATGACTCTCTAAGTGCATGAAATTTCAGACATGACCAAGATTTTTTTTTGGTGAGGTGTCAAGAGAGCCTTCATGGTGTTTGAAGTCATACCATAGAATTGTCTACCTATTCTGCCCTAGTAATTTGTCTTGGACTAGAAAGACTTCTTTAGGACCACAGGCATGGAAGAAGACTGCATAAATATCTATATAATATAGAAGCAGCATGGTATAATCAGAATAACACTGGATTTTGAGTCAGAACTTGGCTTCAAATTCTCCCTCTCTCAGTTGTTGTTTGTGTGCCCTGGGCATTTAACCTGTCTAGGCCTCAGTTTCCTCATCTACAAAATAAGGGAGTTGAACTAGATGGCCATTGAAGTCCCATCCAACCCTAAATCTGTGATCCTATAATCCTATCCACTTTTCTGTTTGGCTATTTTAAAAACCAAGACTCTTTGAAGGTAAGGGAAAGGTCTCCAGAATACAGCTCACTTTGACTCCAATTCAGATAGAAGCCAGAGTTTATTGCAGCTTGGAGCAGAAATGATGCTTTTAAAAATAGGTATTTCCAGCTGCAGCTCATCTCCTGTGGGGTTATTGCTTTGAAACATAATAGAATCCTTGCAATAGAGTGATGTTTTAGCAGAACAACTTTACTCATACCAGAGGGTACTTGGAGCCTGAGAAGCATGCTTCACAAAACACAGAACTAATTTAGGCTTGTACTCTAGCAAACAACAAGAAACCAGTTACCATCACTCACTAACATATTTGGGTTAAAACATTTTAAAAATCTAGTGGTTTAATGCAATTTTGGGAACTGGTAAATCAAGAGCTCTGAGCTTACCATTCTCCAAAAAACCACCAAATCCCCAGGCTTTACTTCCCTTTCTGTAACGTGGAAAGAATTCTAAAATTTCTCTCCCTCTTCCACTTGACAAAATATTGTAAGAAACAATAGACGCTACTCTTCTTCTGTGGGATGGCAGAATATTCCTATGTAACTCAAGTCTAAGGGTTCAGCCACTGGAAAAGGCACTGGACTGGCAGACAAGAGCTGGGCTTTTTCAATGACTTGGTGTTCTTCTTGTATAAAATGAAGAGCTTGATATTTAAGATGCCTTCTAGGATTGACCTTTCATGATTCTTGCACTAGCCCTTTCTGTCCATGGAGCTGCTAATTAGCTGTGCTTTGAGGACCACTAAAACCTCTCCATTATGTGAGATGAACTGAAAGCTACTTCTTCCTCCAAGTATTTCAATACCCTTCTGGCTTTCCATAGCACCCTACACTCTGGCCTGAGAAATTGTTTCTTTGGGTTACAGTGTTCTATGTCCAAGAATCCCATGTAAACAATGCAAATACCTCAGGAAAAGGTAACACAAACATTATTAGACATAAAGACCATAAAAAGGATAAGTTTATGAAAAAAAAAAAACCCAACTAATTATTACCTTAGGAAATGGAGATCTAGCCCCTTAAGGAATTGAAAACAGGATAGGCAAGTTTGGAAAGGGAGTGGAGTAGAAAGAAAGTATATGTCTTAGAATATGGAATGCTTCTTACAGAAGTGAAGCGACAATGAGATATTTTCTTGATCCCCCAGGAAGATACTGAAATATCAAAGAGGTAAGAGAGGAGTAGAAGACATTTGAAATCTGAATAGCAGAGAGAAGAAAAGACAATGGAAAAGTTGGAAAGTGGCTAGAAGAGTTCTATTCTATATATAACCTAATAGACAACAGCTTAGGGCAACTTCCATTTATAATAAATATTTTAGTACCAATCAGCTACCTACAGATCAAATACAGTTGAGAAATTAAGAGTAAGAAAAAATGGGGAAATCCCATAATAAGGTTGGCAAGTTTTCATAAAGCCTCACTTAGGAACCATAGTGCAATTAACTGTGTGACAA